GTGTGTGTATATGTGTTGTTTATTATATATAATATATATATCAAATATATATATATATATATATATATAATATATATATATATAGTTACACACACACACAACACTTAATGTATAAACAACAGCAAACAACAATATTAATTAAGGATCTAATCCCTTCCAGCCGATCTTCATCTGTTCCGCCACACACGTGAACGCGCGCAGTCAGCCCTTCATCCGAACTGTGGATTCGAAACCTTTCACGCGCGGGAAGGTCCTTTGGGAAGGCATTTCGGGGCGAGAAGAAGTGCTTCGAAGGAGTAAATCAGCTGATTAATTCGGGTCTTTCGTTTGGTGATGGTCGTGTTGACGAAGTTCTGGCGTGTTTGCTCATTTTTGTGTTGTTCATATTTGTTACTATTATTGTTATTTGTTGTCTTGTTATTGATTATTATTAACTATTATTTTCTTATCGTCATCATCAATCATCAGTTTATTATTATTATTATTAATATTATTATTATTATATTATTGCTATACTAATTCTATTTTATTATATTATTTTATTATTATTATTATTATATTATTATTGTTTATAATTATTATTGATTATTATTATTATTATTATTATTATTATTGCTTATTATTTTAAATTACCAGTTATCATTATGTTGTTTATTGCTGTTGTTATCATCATCATTGTTTTTGCTATCATGTATTATCGTTATTATTACAATCATCACTGTTTATCGTTATCAATTACCATAAGCATTCTACCCACTATTCTTACCATTATTATCATTACATTATAATTGTCAATTATCATTAATCAACTATAATTACTAATCACCTATTATTATATTTTTTATATTATCAACCATATCACTACTACTATATAATCCTCATTATTATGAATATATTATTATTGTTGTTTTGTTATTATTATTATTATCATTATTATCATTATTATTATTATTATCATCATTATTATTTTTATCTTGACATTATTATTCTTTATTGTTATTATCCATTTCCTCATTATTATCATCATCATTATTATTTTATAATCTTCATCAACAGCCATCATCATTTCACACCATCATTGAACATCACCTATAACATACAACAACAATAAAAATGATGAAAATGATAGTTAAAATTAAAAAAAAAAATAAATATACATATACATATATAAATATATATATTATATATATAATATAATATATATATATATATATAATACATATATTATGTATGTATATATATATATATATATATATATATATATATAATATATATATATATTATATATGTGTGTGGTGTGTGTGTGTGGTATTATATATATAAATATTAAAAAAAATTAAATATATTTATTTATTAAATAAAAATTTTAAATATAATTATATATTAATTATATAATTTAATAATTATATATATATAATAATGTATAAAATAATAATATATATTATATATATATATATATATAAATATATATGTTAAAATGATATAATAAACATTCGAAATCTCACGCACTGCAAACAGAACACCACAGATTTTAGCCCTTGTCAGACACCATGATTTAGGATTACAAAGAGGGAGTTATAAACCGTGTTTCACCGGATTTACTACTAGGATTATTCCCACGTGTGCAGCGCCGTGTAGTGAGGGGGGGGCAGATGATGGTGAGGGTGTGATTGTGTTGATGGTGAGGGTGGTGATCATGATGGGTTAGTAGCAGGAGTTGTAGTTGTAGCTGTAATAGTGATGGTTATAATGAGGCTGGGAATGTTGATATTGTTGATATTGATGATGATTGTCAATGACAATGATGATGTTTATGATAATAGCAGTGATAATAATCATGATAATAGCAATGATAATCATGATAATGATAATATCAATAATAATAATAATCGTGATGAGATATGATGATATTGATAACAATAATGATAATATTAATAGCAATGATAATGATAACGATGTTAATTATTATAATTATAATAATGATAATAATGGCAACACCAATAATAACAGTAACAGAAGCAGCAGTAGTGTTTGTACAAGCAGTGGTTCTAGTAATAGTAGTAGAAGTAATTGTAACAGTAGTAGCAGTAACAACAAACAACTTTAATGATAATGATGATAGCGGTAATGGCGACGATAAAGAAAAAGAAAATATGATAGCAAGAGATATCAGAACAAACCAGCATACCAAAGCAATAGTGAAGGGAAAGGAGACTACCCAAAGAGGCAAGGTAGTCAAGGGAGAAGATTGATTGAAGGAAAGAGGACGCGAAGTGATGAAGAGGAAAAAGGACAAGATCGAAGTAACTTTAACCTTTTAAAAAGAAGACAAAAAGGTTATGGGAAAGGATTATAAGGAACGAATTTTATAATACTGTGATTAGGAAGGTGATTGAAAAGCTATACTTTAGGAAACAATAGATGCTTTAATTGGGGCAATTAAGGCTATGCTTAATTACTTTAGAAAGGAAAATAGGAATGGAAATGATTCAGAACAGTAATGGGAAAGAACCATTGGTGAAAAGGAAGACTGATAGATAATGATAGGATTAAAAGAAAAAAACTTTTTGGAAATGCACAAAAGAGTGGAAATGAAGATGAAAGAAAAATATCTCGTATTGGATAAATGTTGTCATTACCATCACTGATACCATTATTATCATTATTGTTATTATCAATATCATCATCATTGCTATTATAATTACTATTATTACTATTATTATCATTGTTATTACTATTGTTGTTGTTATTATCATATATGTATATATATATATATATATATATATATATATATATATATATATATATATATATATATATATATATATATATATATATATATATATATTATATATATATATATATATATATATATATATAATATATATATATATAATATATATATATATATTATGTATATGTACACACACACACACACACACACACACACACACACACACACACATACATATATATATATATAATAT